TTGCTATGAGTTTGAATGATTCATGTTGAGGACACCAAATACAATAGATGGCAGGGCGGTTTATTACCAGCGCGTTTCGCTACATGGACCGTCGCATCATCATCGCGCTCATGATTCTACGGTCTGTGTAGCGAAATTCGTCGGCAATTTTGATGCTCTGAACCATCGATCATCCAAACACCTATCTAATAAACAAATATGTTTAGGTGATGAGGTAGTAAAAAGGTAACATATTATTATATTATTAAAGGAACTGACAACGAATGAGTTAGTCAAAGTCATCCCAAAATAATTATCTGGAAGACGAGAGGGTGCTCTTTCTGAAAAGCTTAGATCACCGCGAATGCGCCGATACTGTGTAACCCAGCAGTTATGAATATCGTTTTTAATATCCTTAGCTAAGACTGGGACGCTTCCAAGGGTCGTCGCTGAGGTTCAGCTTTATGTTTCATGACGAGGGGGCAAACAACAACATAGTGAGGTTGTTTGTGCTTAGTTTGTCGAAGGAATGGAGATTCTTTTTGGCAACTTTTTGGCAATTCGTCAAAGTTCGTTCATGTATCGGTGCGTTGTTTTCACACAGGGCCAAAACTAATTGAACGAACAAGCGACCAACGAGGAGACGAGGCAAAAACAGCCGAGTGCGACAGCACCAGCAGCATTGATTTTCGTCGTTGATAGACAGCGAGAGGCGAAGAATTTGCCGGCTTTTGGCCAAATAGGTGCACAGTGGCCCGATGATTAATTACGCGAGGTTAAGCGAGTGCCGGCAACGCGCGAAATCATTTTCTTTCGGGAAATTAGCGGCGTTTGTCGTGTCGTTCGCCAGCCGTTATGCGCAGATATTTCACCGCAACGGTCCCCGGCCCAGGGCATAAATCTCACAAATGGACCTCGCCTGTTTGGGCAGTGACCTGCGAGACGCCGTCCGCCATTTACCGGGCTCCGTTGATGAGCGACCGGACGTAGTTGCTTATTGATTAGATCCCGGCAAACGATAATCAACTCCCCGGCGTCCGGCCAATCACACGTTAGCAACGAATTGTCGTTTCTTAATTTAATTCGATAGCAACTTGCACGGCACCACCAACTCCTCAGAGTGCCGCAGCATTCACATGCATCATCATCTTTAAGGAAACATACATCATCCAGCGAAAGCCAATTAAATGCCAACAGAATGGAACTGCCCACCTGAGGCGGTTGTTGCCAGAGCAGTTCAAGCGCCAGTAAGTGGTACGGTAACGTTAAGAAGGATACTTGGCATGAGTCGACCTCTCCTTCGAGCAGGCTTTTGTACGCGAGACATTCTCCTCGCCGATCACGCGCTCCCTCACCAGAATAAAGGCAGACTTCAAACATCACCACGGTTGAACTCGTTTTAAAGGATAATAGTAGATCATATTTTCCGCTGTTGTCGAATGCGTTCAACATTAAATATTGATACCTCGAACTTGTCCAGTGAATATTATAGAATTCTGTAAATGGAAGCTAATGTTCATACATGGTAAGGTCGAAGCTCCCACCAGCAGGTGATCTGAGGTTACCTGGTAACAACTGTCATACTCTTAACTGAAGTGGCCAAAGTCGATGACTCTCCCTGCTCCTTCGACAAACACCATTCCCTGTTTGAACTGTTCATAATGGTCTCTTCCAGAATACGTAGAATTAGCTGGAATAATGTTGAGCATTACCGTTACCTAAGCTGACAGTTATCAATATGTGGATGATTTCTTGCAAGTGAAAGTGTTGCTCGCTGATGACTGCGGCCATTCCGTTCCTTCATGCACTCGTTTTCTTGCCACATTTATTATCGATTGAGGGATAGCGAAAGTAAACTGCCCACGTCCTTTATAGTTTCTAACAATGCCATCCAGCTCATCTCTTGATGCTCAAAGTACTCGATTCACTGTATCTTTGGCTACAAATATTTCAGATGGTTTTCTCTGTACCTGATGATGCTCTTACCAATGTTCTAACTTTCACAATCAAGAAAAAATGTAGGCGAAAAAGGCATGGTTGAGTCTATTGCTTTTTGCCATCACGGCAGCATGTGAAATGTAATCTAATCATAAGCTTCGTGCTCTGATTGAAGGGGTCATGTGCTAGTATAATTTTAGCAATGTTTTTGTACTGTATTTTCAGACATTCAACTACCGTATGAAAAGCATTCGTCATATTACAATACAGCGTTAGTGAATTTCAAGTCGTCAAAAGTCTTTATTCCTTTTTCAGATTGGTGACGTCATGACGAAACGATCTAACTGAGCATTCTTTCATTCGTCAATATGGACTAGTGACTCAAACCCTGTGGTCAGGGTAATCTTGAAGATCAACAATGGGGCTCTTAGGAATTAGCTAAGATGGTTCTGTTGGAAGAACAGAAAAAATTAGACTTTGTTGGGTGACTCCTTTCAGATATTAGATTATCTGATCGGAAATCAGAACCAGAGGATTAAAGACCGCGGTCTGAATTCCCTCGCTAGATCAAGAACAAGCGGCAGTAAAACATGTGGAGCAAAATTAACGCAATTCTGAAGTTATGAAAAATAATAACAAGACATCCAGAATGTCCTCTTATACACCTACTACGAATCTGTTGGAATCAAGGTAAATCTGTTGATAAAGCTACTCAACTAACATGTATATATGATATATATGATATATCATTATGCATAATTTAGGTTCTGAGCAAGATTCTTTCATATCATGACATTTTAATGAGGTAAAATCTTATTTCATGCAAGTTCATTCAACAGTAACTGCTAGTTTATCGTGAAGGGTGTTCATCAGCAGAAGTGCAGAATTGAATGACGTGATAAGGTGTGGTAGAAGCATTGTCTTGAGTGAGTATTGTTGCCTTTGAAATGAGGTCTGTAATAACTAATGATTACTTAGCATCAACTGCAAGTGGTCGGCCAACAAAACTCAGTGAAGGGATGTCAGTCTGTGTAGGCTCTTCATTGCTTAGCATCAGGTTAAGGTAAATTTAAATTTATGCTTACACCTTGCGCTGGTTTTAGTCAGCTTTCAAATAGATGAAGTCGAATTGCACCCGGAAAGTGCCGGCATTAAATTGCGTAGTCGTAGATCTCATTTACTGTGGCATGATACGGTCAGCTACCTGCTACTCGTATGATGATTAGATGATGCAGAAAGAAAGATATTATATTTAAGAACTGCCAACTAACGAATGGTTTTGGAAAGATCCAATTATCATGACAGGAGTAATGTTAATAGACTGTACATCCTCCTTCATTACATTTCCCTACTGTACTTAAATATGAATACATTTGCCTCGCTTAACGTTGATTACTGATTCCCTTATTCACAACAGCGACGATCATAACAAAGTTACAAATAATACCCATGGCTGTGGCAAAAAGCAATTGCACACTGTCTGACTTCTGTGACCCAGATGGCATGAATGATGCTCCCTTCATGAAAGTTTCCGCATGTTATCTAGACAACATCCAATGAAACTCTTCTTTCGTTTACTGCTTGGAACTGGCGTCTTCTCTACTCACGTAAGACGGTACTTTGAAACAATTTTTGCCTGCTTTTCCAGAGATTAATGCGGAGAATGGGCCACAGTTCTCCCATTCGAATTTGCACCTAGTCAGGTTAGACTTATGGGCATAAGGAGATCTGCAGTTTCAAAGTTAGTCTATCGTCGCAAAAATATAAATCGAGCATTTGCTGTTCTAATAATGACAAAGAAGAGCTCACCGTTTAAATTCACAGTATGCCACATTAGTGGTATGCTGTTAGGTAGTTTTGTCAAAGTCTGCTCCACAGAAATGAAACAGATAATGACTTTCTAAAAAGTGAATTTACAAACAAATTTATGCAAGATCAATGTTAAAGGATGACCATTCATAAGCAGGTGATTCATCGCACAGTCATTCGAATGACTCAAAAGTAATCTTGCAGAAAGGTAGCATTAATGAAGTGCAGTTGAACATGCGAGCATATGAGACAAACGCTACCGCTACCACTAGCCCGACTACGAACTTTATCGGTTTTATATTTGTTGTGCATTACTGGACACGTCGTACAGCATGTATGCCCAGCGCGACATCGTTCCTGGCCGGCCATCCAACCTCCTTCAGTATTAAGCCCGCCTCTTAAAAGATTCATCCAATCAGCGCGCATCATCATTTCTTCAAACATCATCATAATTGATCAATTGAAATTGCTGAAGAGAGCAATGAGAGAACGTGGGAGTTAACGCCTTTCGGGCGGCCAATAAAGCTGTAAACACAATCATCTCATTGTCGCCGGTAAACATTACAAATAAACGTCTTTGATCGGCACTTATACGGTGGAGATCGTGCGCCACTAGACGGATCGTTGTCGACCGAACATGTTGCCTGCGTTGACGTCTTATCACAGTGTGGTGGCTGTTGTGTAGGAATCGAGGACAACAGCAAGTGGTCAGTCGTCAGCAGCTGAAGACCGAAGGTGAGCACCTGTGGTGTGAGCTCAGATCACTCTGCCGCTGCCATCGTTGATTCTTACTGTAGCAATGGAAGGTGACGTTGGTCACTACGTGGCCAAAGAAGGAGCTCACAGGAGTCAGAACAAGCGTATGTTTTCGCGACATCCAAAGACCGCCTCGACGAAGCGTTTTGCTGCCTCCTGCGGGTCGTCCTCGCCATCATCCGAATTCGTAGCCTCCAAGGAGGAAACCGGCATCACTGACCGGTCGTTGAACGACCAGCCTCGGACCTCATCGTCCTCGTCCTCCTGTTTCTATTCAATTCAGTCGATCCTGAACAGCACGTCTTGCTCGACGTCTTCGTCGAGGCCTCCACGTCGCGCCGCCAGCCCAAGCGCAACGTCAACAGGTGACGACGAGGCGCTGCAGAAGTACTGTAGATCTTCGAACGTTCTGAACGGCGTAGCGATGGCGTCGTGGTTCAACTCGTCGTCCAACTTCGTCTACTCGTACCTACTGCCGAAGATATGGTACCAAGACCCTAGATTCGGCGCCATGTGGCAGGCGGCAGCGCAGCATCAGCGGCTGAAGATGAAGCCGGACATGGAGAAGGGTAAGACGAATTCAGCGTTTTTCGTGATCGCAAAAAGAAGAAGACTTTCGCTTCATTTCAGACGCTGATCCGGTGACGACGTGCAAAAAGCAGAGCCGACCGACTTTCACCGGTCCGCAGATTTTCATTCTCGAAAAGACGTTCGAGCAAACCAAATATTTGGCCGGAATGGACCGGGCGAAATTGGCCACCCGTTTGGGCATGACCGAAAGCCAAGTTAAGGTAATTCTAAATGCAATGTGTCCGGCAATGACGTCATCACCTGGGCAGTGCGCTTTCTTTCGTGCCCCACATACGCGCAAAGTATGGTCGCCCCAGATTGCCAACGAATACCGACCAACCACGACCAGCGATCAGTTTTCGGCCAATGACGGACGGGCGGAAGGGAGGGAGTGTCAATCGGATTTAATAAACTTTTAAACGTCCGGCATATAGAAAACTTTTTTGTACCTTGTTTGGCCCAGTTTTTTGATCGATCACTTATCGAATCTTTGAGGTGTACATTTCTTTTATATGCGCTTAGAAGGGTGACTGACTGCAAACGGCTCTTTCTATAATCTTCATCTAATTTTCCTTTGTTGTTGTCGTACCAGAGGCAAATGGTCTCCCATAGCCGAGGTAGTTATCGGAACATGTTTGAAAAATAGCTCCACTGCAATTAGGTTATTACAGAAGTTTTGTCGACTATCTAACCATAAGGTCAAACTTCATACGTTTGATCAAAATAAAGTTGATTAACAAAAATTAAAGCCATTTGAATAAACACATTTTTGTCCACGCGTTTTGTCGCACTAGAAAAAATCTGGACTTTTAAAGTCAATGAATTGCTAAAAGGTGTTTTCAACCACTCCAGTTGGCGAGCTATTTCTTCCAGGGGAAGCCGCTTAGCTCTGTGGAAAGGTTGCAGGCTGTCAGGGAAGTAGTGAATGAGGTCGAGCTTCGTGCTCCAAATTCACAATGAATGATTTGCGAGATATGACGAAGAGTATTATTATGAAGTAGTGGTAGACCTGTGCGATTCATCAATGCCGAGTGTGGTTGCGAGTGCTTTGGTAGCACCTGTAACAGCATATCACACAATGGTCATGATATTCATTGGGCACAGACTGAAGTTGGCCATGTACTTTTATTTCTCGCCTCTGTCGATCCATTTTTCGTCACGAGTAATGATCCAATGTCGAAATCGACTGTTCTCCTTTCTTATGTTCAGCGGCGAGCATTTCTTTAGTAGAAGAGGAAGGCGTAGGACGTTGCTGATGTTTGTTTCCGAGACTCACTCATTTTCGAACTGAAACGCTTGAACCAGCTTCTGGCTGCTTGTTCACTGGAGGGACTTCTTACCATATACATGATTAACGTTATGAATGTTTTGCTTTGGGCCCATCGTTAGCCTTGAGCCGCCGTTTTAACCCATAGAGCATAATTGTACGAATTATCACTTTATTCTTGCTCTATTCAAAGCCGTGAAGAGTGCTTATTATGTCCGTTCAAAAAATGATTTATTTGCATGGACAATGATAACCATACAATGATAAACCATAAAATAAAGCATACAACCAATCGATGGAAGTTTCTAAGCGTCTTTATCAGTTCAGCTTTTTGAAGTCTGTTAAGGAGCTGACAGATGCAGGAGACTGTCCATTCATAACTGTTTGAGAGTTCAGAATATAGCACTATTTTTTTTATTCTTAATTGGCGCTAACGAATTACAATCTACTGATTAAATTTATGATTAGTCTATGTTGGTCAATGTCTTGTGGTTGCTGTGGTAACTGCAATCTGCTTGTTAGCGTAGGAAGCGCTTTAAAATTCATGAAGGTCTGAACGACGATCTAACAGACGATTCAGGGGCATTCTGATGCATATTTATTTGCACAATTATTTGCTTCAAATTGCGGCATGTATGGTTTCGTGTGTTCTCGAAAACAGTCGAATGAGTTCATCTAGGTTGGCGATAGTTCCGGTTGCATTTACCTATAATTTTACCGCTTGTGGTAAGTCTAGTTTGATCTGCCCTGTTTATGTACTTTTCTGTCCTCAGTATTTCTTCCAACATGTAAAGGAGCATCCAACGGTTCTTCTAAGCAGTCCTAAAAGTTAAAGATCTGTTCGAAATAGCGATCACATGTTCGTTGTCGCAGACTTTTGTCAGGAATTGTAATGTGGATTACTGTCTTTGTACTCAGAGATTTTAAGATAGCCTGTTTTTGCTTTTCTCATACAGAGGCATTAAAAGTTACTGCCTCCTCTAATGGACTGTGGCCAGCAACGGAAATCAGAAAATTACCTATACAGTACAGCTTGCAACGGTGACAAGTTTTGATAACCTGCCGGAAACGTGACCGTTGTCTGACACGATAGCAGCTTTTTCTCGATTCCACTAGTTTCCAGTTAGTGGAATGAAGTGAAAACGTAGCTGTCATTTCCAACGTCCATGTTTTCACCATTTTGGTCCAATGGGAAATAAGTTCCGGAGGTTCAAAAAATGTATGGAAGTTTTTTGCTTTGTTCTTTTGAAGTGCAGGGTTCAAACCTCTGAGCAGTGCGTAAAATTTCTTGTTGTCTGCAAATTCCTTTCAACAAGGTATTAGCCCTACCGTACCTTGGTGCAGCCTGTCCTTAAATGGCTAGCAACTCATTGACCTGAGTGACAGCATTGGGCTCTGACTAGTCCAGTTTGGCAGGACATTGAATGCATACTCCATGCTGTAGTATGTGATGCGTGTGTTTTATCCATGTAACGCTAATTTGCCCTCCCCCCTCCACACTCCCACCCCCGCCTCCTTGATGGCTAACCAAAGATCAACACAAACGTGAACGGTAAATAAAAGATTAAATAAACAGATCTTTGGAGAACGATGAAACGATGAACGTTCCTTCGCCAAATACACCCTTCTTTCACCGACACCTTCTGAGTAACTTGGTGCATACTAATTGACTTCTGCGACCTCGACAAAACGTTTAGACAGCAAGAATCCTGTTATTTTGGCCTAGTATGAACCCCTTCTAGTCTCCGAGCCATCTCCCGATCACCTTGCGTTCACCAATGACTGCGAAGCAACGAACGTAGAAGCGACATTTAGGTAGATTAGAGCATTGTGCAATCACGAAAGATTTACTGTATCCTGAAAATCTGTGCCAGCTGGCAAATTATTAGTTTACCTAATAGACACGCCCATTAGGCAGTTATTAAATTTTACTGCTGATGATCATTCTCTGATGAACAGCTGCTCGTGTCATCTTGATGAGCAGTGATCGATCGCGTTGCCGTTAATGAAACGTTTCCGGTCGTGATCACAATGGAAAAGTGACGCTAAAACACTGTTGTAAACTCTTGACATTTCAGCGTCACTGGCCTATTTAACAAGACAAATTCCGGCCTCGGGCAACCAACATTCATTGTACTGTTGCTGAATGATTTTGGAAATCTTTAAACGCCAGTTTATTGGTTTAGCAAAGAAGGAGCACCTTTCCATCGACGCCCATTAATGTGCCGTGGGCTTCAGACCATATCCATTCTGTCCAATTTCATCATCCGTTTTTCAGTGGTCATTAAAAAGAAATAATCATAACGCTATAAACGGGCTTTCTATGGGTCGTAATCTTTTTAACGACGTGTCCGAAATAGGTGAAAAGTCATTTGCGAATGACCATGTTCCACCCCAAATAACTTAACTTTGCCAGTTCTCTACAGCGTTTATTACCCTGCAATGTACAAAGCGTGGCTAATGACGTACTGTCGTGGTAGTAATCCCATGTCTAAAGGATTTGTAGATGGGCATGTTGCTTGACTGTGTTCCGCATAAAGGTGAATTAGCGCAGCGGCCCGTGTCGTTCCGTCTTTAGAAGAATAGGTCTCAATATTATGTCTGTACCAGCGATAGTGAAAGGGTATGCTGAAACGTGTAATGCACCGGCTATTTCTTTATCCGTAACCTGTTTAGTAACAAATGTTGCATTTTATGGTCATTAAGTATTAGGTAACCGCAGTCGTGAAATCGCCATGTCTTATCGCTATATATGAAGCGCAAATAATGAACAGGATTTAAAAGGATATCGAACGAACAGTCAATAAAGCCTAACCCCTTTTTTATCACGCTGAAAGAAAGTTTTGGCGGGAGGGGGGCAGTGTTTAATGCAGTACCTAGATTAAGTTTCGAATGTATCAAATGTTTCGTCTAATGTTAGTACTTCACTTGATTTATCAAGCGAGTGGGGCATGTCCCCAACCCACAACGTTCTTGCCAGCATACAACAACGTATTGCAGATTCCCAATTGAATTAATACTTGTGGATTTACAGACTGCGAATGACACTGTTTCCCTCTGACATAAATGTACTGCATATCAGTCTTAACCAAATCCGTATTATTCTTAATATTCATCACCGTCATTTTCTTTGCCAATTTCGTAGAAGCAGATGAACCGATGTATTGCGAGTAACCTGTTTTGCGGCATTTCAATTTAAATACTGCAAGATTTAAAGGAGGATTGGGAAAGATATGAAGGAGGTATCAGTTATTGCCCAATTATACCACAGTTGGCTGGCGCCTGCTAAAGAAGGACAAATATATCCTGGCATGACGGGCGATCGCTGGTCATTGCACTGAGCAAGATCCTCTGAAAATAACAGCTTACAATATGGCGCTGTCGTAAATTATTTATGACATCCCGTTAAGTCAATACAAAGTTATAGCAACGGTATAGTGGGTCATAATTTGTTTTAATTTTATTTGCACCGAACCTTGATATTGTCTTGCCAAAAGTTATTGGATGCCGAAATGATCATACACGTTAGAGTGTCCGACTACACGTCCTCAGCTCGACACAGATTATAAGACAAGGAAACTAAGAGTGTTTTCGTTGGTGTCACATCAACTTCTATAAACTTATTAATATTGTAATCCTCAGGAGGCAGTTTTAACTGATAAAAGTTTTTCTCGAAAATCGTATCGGCTTCTTACCGTAGATAATTGTTAATTAATAATAACTATAGGTCCATTTATGGCAACAGGAACATTGAAGTAACTTGATGGATGAAAGTACGAACAAATTATCAGCTATCACAGTAAAATTCTTACACAAAAAACTTCTGCCGTGATAAATAATCAGTATCCGGTCGAATTGTCGATGTAGCAATTACAGAACTTTCTTAAGTTGAATTACCACTAAAAATTGACCACACTGATGACATACGTTTTAAGAACATAGAGAATTCTCAACTTCTTACTGTTAATACCTCAGATTCCCTGATTAAGGCAAATAGTGACGTTTAGAACCAGAAACATTGAATGTAATTTTGTTAGTGAGGGTCCTTTGCAGTCGTGTTTCATCGAGAACAATTATTCACTGAATAAAATTATTATTTCGATTGAAGCATTTACTGGAAGGTATAGGTGAGCTAAATATATGTAAACCGTGTTTTACGTTTTTTTTCAGTATGATCACCAACGCAAGAACGAATTACTGTATGCTGGTATTTACCTATTTTCATATTCATGGGCTATTTTAAATTTCAGATGCAGACCAAAGAATATTTAAGAATCGCAAACAAAGAATAATCTACGTAAATTTCCTACAGCCATAGCATAAAGGACGTTGGATTATAATACTTAAAACACAAATCACATGTAGCTAGGAGAGTGAGGTTGATAAAGTTTTCTAACAAGAAAAAAAATGAAGGGCTCCCAAGTTCTGCGCATTGTCCAATATTTAGGCTTCTAGACCTGAAAAATAAAAATAATGAACCTTAATAAGTGCAAATATTTTCTTTGATTGGGTAAAACACTGGTGAATGAAATCTACCTCGATCCTCAAGCGCCTCTTTTCCGAATCTCGATGAGTTGGTTAAAGGATATGGAGTAAAAGGCCGTGCTACATGAAGGTTGGCGACGTGAATGGACTGCCTGCGCAACTGGCAAGAAATACTTAAAAAAATAGACGCGGAAGAATCCCGGGTCCGCGATTACCGAATACTACGTCGGTTTGCCAAACACAGGGCGTACTTACAACACCGTTATGTTCAGTACACGACTGGCCAATGCCACGAGGACAACTTCAGGATCTTTTTGACCATTCAAAACACCAGAATCTGTCTTTAGAAGCGTTTGTCGTCAGGGAAAGATGATCGAAGCGGATGTTCTCCACGTATGATATGCAAATCTTGAATATCCGCCGAACTTGGAATCAACGATGGTAAAATATTCCTCGAAAAAGCATACAAAAACCGCACTGGAATAGCCAAGGTAGGATTCATGATATAGGAAATGGCCGTAAGGCCCGTAGTCAGTTAAGACTTCATGATGCTAATTCTGCGGATGAATAAGAGAAGAGTACTGAAGGTAATTAGGATTGCAGTGCCTGCTGAAAGCAACCACCTTCACATCATGAATACTTTGCTTCAAAAAGCCGGACGCGGCACTTGACGTCGAGGACCCTTAAGTAATGACTGTTAAATAAATCGACTACTTGTTGATAGAAACGAGGTGAGTCATAACAAATGTATATTTCATTGGGGAAAACATCGTCTGCTCGGGGTCATACCACAGATTACTACGCTTCACAGTTACAATCGAGTTCGCTAAAGAAGAATGGGTTAGTAGGGCACAAACAACGTCGGCACCGGGCGAATATCCAATCCTGAAGCTTTGGCGGACAAGCTTCCTCAGCTGAACCTTGCAATAGCCATTAGCAGAGGTATCGATGCAGGCTGTCAGCACCTCATCGCTTCCATTCAGTCATCCAGCTAGGCAGCAATATTAACGAGGTAACGACGCACCGGCCCCCATAAAGACAATTGCCGGCCAAAATAGCCAGAATACAGGCTGATTGGCAAGTGGAGACGAGTAAAGTGCTTTGTGCTACGAAATATGGAAGAATATTCTGGAGGAGTATGGAAGGTACAGAAGAACAAATCTAAGAGATGCCGCATTAGAAAAGAGCAGCCTTGAGGCCATGGAAAATGGTATCCTCCCAAAATGGCGGAATCTAGTATCACTGATGAAGGGGTGAAAGGAACCACAGATCGTTATTTCATGAAAACGATCTGCATGTAGTTCTGTAACAAACTTTACTCCTTGTAAGAATAGAAGTAAGCTGGAAGCTATCGCACGTTGCTCTGGAGACCGCTCCACCTCTCATTTGAAACGACGCAGAATGGACAGTCAAAGGCCTCAAGAGTGGTAGATGTCCTGACAGGGGTTGCTTCAAAGAGAACACCTCAGGTCATAAGGAACGACCCTGTTCAAGCCCTTGTCGAACGATTTATTGAGTAACCAAGATTGAAGACGCCACAAGAACAGAAGAGTTCTCCGATGGTACTTCTGTTAAACGAAGGTGACATTGAAGACCGTCAGGACTCATAAATTTTCTGTGCCAATTCTACAAGGTCTTTACCTGAATTACCTGAATAATTCTCTACCAAATTGCTTGCTAGAGGTGAACAAGTCTGCTGTGAACAAGTCTTCCACCATAGACAATATTCACGACGTCTAGTACTTGACAGAGAAGTGCAAGGAATACCAATTCACCCTTTTCTATGCATTCGTCGATTTTAGAAAAGTGTTCGATTCCTTCCAGTTGATCGTTCTACTGAACACCTTGCTAGAAGCTTGCGGTATCAACCCTGTCTAACTCGATGAGACGTAGGGCTGGTCACGTGGCTCGTCTGTAGGATATAAGGTGGATATCCCAAGTCAAGAGTTTGATCCCCTTTGGCAACGGACTCCAATCGGTCGTCCACTAACGTGCTCTGAAACGATTCAGTGACGAGGTTACTCAAAACAAATTGCACAACACCAGCAAGAAGAGTGGCGCAACGCAGTGACTTGCGTCTGTGGCGCGGTCGCTGGCGAAAACGAGTCAAGTAGAAGCTCTAAGTCAAAATCGTTTCCCTTTCATTGATCGCTTTG